GGCTGTTGAGGCTGGGTCATTAAGTATATTCAAGACTGAAAAGCGACCGATTTTTAATCAGTAAGAGAATCAAGGATTTTGGGGGAAAGGCAGGAAAGCGAAGTTGAGGATTATCGAATCAGTTGTGATCTCATTGAATGGCAGCGCAAACTCTGGGCTGAATGGCCTATTTCTGCTCTTATGTTTTATGTTCTTAGTCAACAATAATAGACAGTGAGATGTTGATACTGGAAGATCTGATTTCAGGATTATTGGCTTTGTAGATTAGTTGAAATCCAGTTTCTAGTTCTTTTGAAACCTCATGCCAACACTCAAATCCAGGTCACTTCATGCAAGTACCTCAGCTCACTAACCTACTGAGAAGAGTTTAACTTGCTTTTAACTCTTTTTCTTGTGTAAGCTTGAAAGTGGAAGGCACAAAATACATCTCTCGGCTAGACTGCTGTCGTTTCTCTGACCATGTTCACAGTCTGAGAACTCGCAGGAAATTATATTTCTATTTCTAGTGCATTTCCCCTTGTTGAGGCCCAACTCTCTGAAGTTTTCTTGACACCTTGTGATGTATGTTGTTTCAGGGCCTCTGTCTTAAGACTGCTGTTGAATTTGCATATGTTGTCATTTGTTTGGTGCTGTTCTGAAAAAATCAGGTTGGACTAAAAGTGCGATATATCAGTGGCTGGGGTTATAAACTCATGGTTGTGGCAGGTTTGTCACATGAGAAATTAGGCTGATTGGGCTTTATCAGAGGGAGGTCATGCCTAACAAATTAGAATTTTCAAGGAGGTGACCATGTAGTTGATGTAGTTTTATGTGGACTTCAGCAAAGCTTTGACAAAATCCCACATGGAAGATTTCTTTAAAAAAGGTAAAAGCACATGAAATGCAGGGTTACTTGACAAATTAGATCCAAAATTGGCTTAGTGGTAGGATACAGTGGGATTAAAAACTTTTTGTATGACTAGAGGCTGGTGTTCAGTGACACACCATAGGATCAGTGCTGGGTCGCTTATTTCGTGTACTATATATGAACGATATAGAAAAATATATTGGGAGTGGTATGTAAGTTCATGAATGATACAAACATGGTCCAGCGGTTGCAGGAGGATATATATGGTCAGGTGGGCAGATGGAAATTAACAGACGAGTGTGAGGTGATGGACTTTGGAAGAAGTAACAAGACAAGGAATCCTAAATGAATGGCAGGACTCTAGGGAGCTCAGAGGAATCTCCTGGGGTCCATCTCCATAGATCCTTGAAGGCAGCAGAATGGGGGTTTACATGGCAGTTAAGAAGGCATATGAAACAATTATGTTTATCAGTCATGGCATAGATTATAAGAGCAGGGAAGTTGTTGGAGCTGTATAGCACTTTAGTTAGGGCAAAGCTGGAGTACTGTGTGCCGTCCTGGTCACCACACTACAGGAAAGATGTGATTGCACTGGAACAATATAGCAGTGGAAAGTCTGGATGAGCTCTGGTTTTATTTAGAGCAGAGAAGGCTGAAAGGGAACCTGATTGAGATGTGTAAGCTTGTGAGGAACATTGATAGAAAACAGCTGTTCCCCTTAGCCAAAGGATCAATAACGAGGGGGCATGATTTTAAAGTGAAAAGCCAAAGATTTAGGAGATTTGAGGAAAAATTCTTTCACCTGGAGACTGGTGGGAACCTAGAATGTACTGCCTACGAGAGTAGATGAGGTGGGAAACCTCACAATGTTTAAAAAGTACTTGGATGAGCACTTAGTGTCATAACATTCAAGACTATAGGACTAGTGTAGATTTAGTGATTCTTTGCCGGTGCAGACTTGATGGACTTCTTCTGTACTGTATGATTCTACAAGGTGTGTGGGGACAGAGTAGGATTATGGCATTGAGATAGAGGATCGATCATGGTCGTGTGGAATGGTGGAGCAGGCTTGATGGGGTCAAACAGCCTATTCCTGCTCCTGTTTTCTAGCTTTCTAATAATACAGCAGTGATGTAAGCACTGGAGAACGTTTTTTAGTTTCGTCACTGAAATGGTGATTTTGGGATGTTTTCTATTCCATTAGGTGCTTGATGCCTCAGATGTAATTCTAGAAGTGGTGGATGCCAGAGATCCTCTTGGTTACAGATGTCCTCAAGTGGAGCAGGCAGTCTTACAGTCAGAGGGGAAGAAGCAACTAGTCCTTGTATTGAACAAGATAGGTAAGAAGACATAAGAGTAATGACTTCAAATTAGAATTCTGGAGGGGTTACAATGTCTTTAAAACAATGTCATTTATAAAGTAGAAATCACTGTTCTTTATTGTTTAGATTTGGTGCCAAAGGAGAATACAGAGAAATGGCTAAAATATTTGGAAAATGAATTTCCTGTTGTCGTCTTTAAATCATCTGCGCAGTTGCAAGACAGAACAATGGTATGTTTCCCAAAACTAATGCAATATAATCCAATTAAATGTTGTTAACTAGGTGATCAACTTGTTTTAACACTAATGTATTTGAGGTAGAAGATCCAACTCTGGTTTCATGCAATTGTTTCTCATTACATGTTCTTTTAACCAATTTTGAAACTTCATTTTTGAGAAATTTTTTGAATTGCCAAAATATTGTTTCTTCATAAAGATTAACTTGTGGATAATCCAGAACCATTTTGCAATAGGAGTATTGAATTTTGGATGAAGTACTTTAACAGTACCTGTTTGGCTGGGTAATTTGTTGGCAAAAATTACCTTTGCATCATTCGTATTTTCTCTGACATTCCTGTAGATTTTATTATTTATTCATAGCTTTGTGTGTTGTGTGTCCAAGTTACCTACTGCCTTAGCTGCACTGACGTGTGCTAACCTTTTTTCTCCAGAACCCACTTTTTGAAGAAGTGGCTTACTTGTACTTTGGGTCATCTAGGCATTCCAGTTGAGGTTAGGAACATGGACGTTTCAGAGGAATGGCCCAACTCTGCCATTTCTTGACAAAATGTATACTGATGCATTGTGCCACTGAGCAATGCAGTAAACAACATAATTAGAACTTTATTTGTCAATTCTAGATCAATTTTTTGAAAAAAATTTTTAAACTTATTTTAAACAGGACCAGAAAAGAATTTCTAAACTGAACACTGGTATAGAAATATCACACAACAATACCTGTGCTGGTGATGAAAGTCTTTTAAAAATGCTGATCAGCTACTGCAGAAAACAAGATTTAAAAAGCATTAAAGTTGGTGTAGTAGGTGAGTGCTTACTCCATATTTTGTTTATAAATTATAAAGTAGTCTGATGTTGAATTTGAATCTTTCCAAGTGAGACCCTTGCAAAATAGCCCGATATTGCATTTTGCTATTGCATTTTGCTAATGCATTCAGCTTTGCAGAATTACAAATTGTGAAACGTCCTTCCATTTCTTGCTTATCCAGTAATGTTCAAAGTAGATTAATTGACTTATAATTCTGATACACATGCAAGTAAAACCATCGCCTTCAAAAACAAAAATAAAGGCAGAATTCCCCCTTTGTTCTCACACATCACCTCACCAGCGTCTGCATCCAAAAAATCGTTCTCCGCCACTTCCACCACCTACAATCCGAACTCACAACCGAAGGTATATATCTGCCCCCCCGCCCACAATTTGCCTTTCGTAGGGATCGTGACTCCCTTGTCTGCTCCACACTCCCCACTAACCCCACCACCCCCAGCACCTTTCCCTGCAACTGCATGAAGTGCTACCCTATCACCTCTGTTTAAGGCACAAAACAAACCTTCCACATTAGACATGGGTTCACCTGCACATCTGTCAACTTGGTCTACTGCATTCGCTGCACCCGATGTGGCCTCCTCTATATCAGTGAGACCAAGTCGAGACTGAGACGTTTTGTGGAGCATCTGTGCTCTGTACGTGACAGACAACACTTTCTGGTTGTGAAACATTTTAACTCCCCCCTCCCACTCCCTGGGTGACATGTCCATCCTGGGCCTCCTCCAGTGTCACAACGATGCTACCCGCAAACTGGAGGAGCAGCACCTCGTATTCTGTCTTGGGAGCCTACAGCCCAATGGCTTAAATGTGGATTTTGAGTTTCAAAATCTCCCCACCCCCAGTCTCATCCCATGACCAAGCCTCCCTCTCATTCCCGTCTCCTTGACCTGACTCAACCTGTCCATCTTCTCTCCCACCTATCCACCACTCCCACCTCACTGACCACTGCCTACATGCACTCACCTATCACCATCTTACCTACCGTCCCCAGCCCCACCCCTCCTCTCTATTTATTTCTGAGATCCCCTCCCCCTCCTCATTTCTGAAGAAGGGTGCTGACCCAAATCATCAACTTTCCTGTTCCTCAGATGCTTGGCCTGCTGTGTTGCTCCAGCTCCAGCTCCACACCTTGTTATCTCTGACTCCAGCATCTGCAGTTACTGCTATTTTATTTTCATGCAAGTAAAACCAATTTTTGTTCTTTATGAATTACATATTTTTCTTTCAGGTTTTCCAAATGTAGGGAAAAGCAGTATAATTAACAGCTTGAAAAAAATGAGAGCTTGCAACGTGGGACAAGTAAGAGGTCTTACAAAGTAAGAAGGTTAAAGTTGGCATAGTAAAATGTTTAGATAAAACTGCTGACCGATAATGTGTGACTAACTTGCACACTTATTCTTGAGCTATTCCTTTATTATATTTAAAGAATAATTTTTTAAAAATAAAGAACAGGTACTCTTTCCATTCAGTATAACTTGGGAGATTTCGGTGACTTTGTTCCAGGCATGTTAAGATTTTGAATTAATCCCAGCCACTTATCATCCCTCCCTGGTAGTAAACTCAAAGCACTGTTCAAATCTACCCTTCTGCTTTAGCAATTTGATCACTTTAACACACAAACCATTAACCTATTCACTTAGAACTATATTGAAATATCAATACTCCAGTGGAGAAAAAGCAGATTGCCTGCTGGCCATTTAAAAAACTAGAATATTTGATCAGCCAAATAATTTAATATGTTTATTTATGTTAAGGGAGTAATGAGTGAAAAATGAGGACAACTTTCATAGCCTGATGTCCATGACTGCTAAAGATCCAACTCTGATTTCACTCAGTGGCACATGACCTGCCTTATTGTCTCTGAACAAAAATCTGTTTGAAATAGTGACTGTCTTGTGGTAGGTGTTAATAATTGTGTAATCTTGCACAGATCCATGCAGGAAGTACACATCGATAAGCAGATCAAAATACTGGATAGTCCAAGTATTATTGCTTCTGCATCAAATTCTGCTGTTGCCTTGTCCTTGAGGAACATTGTGGACATTGAAGCACTGGAAAATCCCACATCTGTAGTGGAGCCCATACTGAAGAACTGCAATAAACAGCAGGTACTGAATCCACTTATTGTCTTGTTGTCTTGCATATTTATTTCTGTTTTAATTTTATTTGAGTGAGAAATGAGGATAATTTAAATGGTCAGAAAGGGCATGTTTGACTGCTAAAGATCCAACTCTGATCTCACTTGGTTATATGGCTCCTTAGGTCAGTTTAAGTGTTGCAATTCTTGTGTAATAAGTTTTTTAGCTAATATATACCATATCGCCACAATAGGTTATGTTGCAGTATAATGTCCCGAATTTTAGAACATCTCTGGAATTTTTAACATTGCTGGCTCAGAAAAGAAGCATGTTGAAGAAAGGAGGGATCCCTGACATTGAGAAAACAGCCAAGTTGATCCTTTACGATTGGAGTGGGTAATTAAAATTCAGTTCCTACTTTTGAACCATTTTGCAGATTGAATTAATAACTAAAATACAAATAATAGCAAAAGTTGCACATTTTCTGTGTTAGAGCTACTTTTTAATAAAGGTTTGCAATAAAGTGTGTAGTGGATGCCTTTGGATAATGTACAAATTGGCAAAGTTTTCTTTCTATTCTTAAGAGCTAAGGTCAATTACCATACAGCTCCTCCAGAGAGACACAAACTACCCAATTACATCACTGCAAAACTTGTGGAAGAAGCAAAAAGAGGCTTTAATACTGGAGAACTAACCAATCATAATGAAAATACACTCAAAGGTAATTAATGCATTAACTTTAATGTAAAAGTTGTTTCAGTATGAATTAATTACTTAAACAAGTTCATTGATAAATTTGTGGGATGCATCAGGTTACACAGAAACAGGCTTTTCAATGATGTGAGGATGTCTGTGAAAGATATAAAAGGTTGATATTTACACAAGGCAGAAGAAACTTGCTGACATGGAGGGATCAGTTGATAATTGAAGCAGAAACTTTAATCTGTATATAATAAAGTGGCTGTGAGAATCAAAGGCATAGAGAATTAAAGCATAATGTAAATAAACATCAATACAGATGATTGTGGCTTATAATCTGTTTATATCTGTTATTGACTTCCAGCTGTCAAATATATAATCCATAACTTTCTCATCCTCCCTCCTGCCAGGTGTTAGGTGCCCTAATATGGCCAGCAGTATAGTATTCCAATCTACGGGACCAACTAATGGACTAATTAAAGAGGCTAATGTGGGAGAAGAATTGCAGGATCAGGAAAGGAATAAGGATAACAATTCAGTGAACCTAAAAAATTCAGAGGTAAGCTAACTGCTGTTTCGAGTGTTTCCAGTTGTTAACTGTGGTCTTTTGGAAGTCTAGAATTACTTTATTGCCCTTTGAAATCCCTATATGAATTATGTATATTTTTGGGGAAAGAGTCATTATGATAATTTTTTGTCAACATCTCTATAGTGTACCAGAGTTTGGAAACTGAAACCGGATATTACTCCTTAAGAAAAATTGAAGCTAAAGCTTGAAGTGTTGTATTCTTGTACTTGTGCTCAAGAAAATTATTTCCATTAGTGCATATTTATATTTGGCATAAGTTTCAAAGTACTGTGCTATAGATTTAAAATGATAAAATATAGTTCAAATGCTTGGAATGTTTGGCTTTTTAAATCATTTGAATCTTAGTTAATTTTGATGTTATCTTGACCTTGAGCATTTTCAAAGAATATCTGTAATAGGAATAGGCCATTCAGTTCACTGTTTTATTTAGGTAAAGCATTCATGTAAATTGCAATCTGTCCTTCTTTCTGATAGTAGTTTAACAAAAAAAGAAGTCTAATCCAATCTACCACCTTCCAGCATACTTTTAACCATTTCCATTTCTAGAAACATGTTGCATAGAAAGTTGGATGAGTCTGGAATAATATCCTAAAATGTTTGAATTTGATTAGACTTCCTGGGATGGCAGTTCCAGGATTTTGGCCTCGAGGAAATGGTTCTGTACTAATGGAAGAAACCTTATTAAACCAACTTGAACACTTCATAGAATCATAGAATCCCTAGTGTGGAAGCTGGCCGTGGAGCCCATACCATCTTTCTGAACAACATCACACCCAGATCCATACCCCTACTCTATCCCTTTAACTCTGCATTTACCATGGCTAATCCACCTAGCCTGCACATCCCTGGACACTAGGCAATTTAACATGCCCAATCCACCTAACCTGCATATCTTTTGGACTGTGGGAGGAAACCCGCACAGAAACAGGGAGAATGATCAAACTCCACGCAGTTTCAGCCTTGGGCAATTGAACCCGGTTTCTTGGCACTGTAAGGCAGCAGTGCTAATCACTGAGCCACCAGACCGCCCACTTGGAACTTGAAGTACTCTCATTCTAACATCAGATATTACACATTGCAGATTCCATTTGTGATGGGAAGAAGGAAAAAGCAGATAGCATGGGACTTTTCTGGATCATTATTGTCTCTGAAAGCAGCAGGATGTGCTGCGATCAGATTTTGTTCATAGGTGTGCCTGTTCAATTAGGGAAAAAAATCACAATTGCAGAAAAAGATCAAACCTGCTACAGGTACCAACTGAACTGAATGTAATGATGTGCAAGAACAGCTAGTGAAAATGGAATATTGAATTCTGTTACATTTTTAAAACAGTAGTAGACATTCCAATTTTTATCTTCCTAGGCAGAATATGTTGAAATAGATCAAGATAAAAATGGAAAAGTGAAAACAGATGGATGCACAATAGCCAAAAAGTTGCAGATAAAACAAATGAAAGTAACTGCCAAGAAAAATAAACTGGAGTCAGGTTGGTTATTAGATTTTTTTAAAGCTGTGATAATTGTATACCATTATACAATTATGGTAGTTCATAATTGTACTATGCTAGTTCAGCGTCCACGTTAACAATTTCATTTCAGTGAGTTGTACATTGAAACTAAGTTAGACAAAGTGAAAGTTGATAAATACATCTGTTATGTTCTAAGAGTGGAAAATATGACAAACTTTGTGTTAACTGGCACACTATAAACTGGCAAAAATTATATATTTTATATACCGGAAGTTTACTGTGTTATTGCGATCTCTGCAATGTCTGAGTCATTAGTTGAGGGTGCGAGAGAGAAGGTGGTCTGCTGGCAAGTTTTATTTAAGGTAATGTTGCATTATTATTTAAATGACACGCTGTAAATAAAGTATAACAGTGTGTATATCCCCACATTATGTTTCTATTACTTAATGTATTTTTACATTGATTATGTGGATCTCTTAACTAACTGGCATACTCCTGATCCCATAGGTGCTAGTTAATAAGTTTGCTGTACTATTATTTTACAAGTGATTTGAGTAGTTTGAACCTATTGTACGTTTCCTTTAAGAGGTATAAATGTATCTTAAACTTTGGAATTGTTAGTATGGCAGAGACAACTTGTGATTAATACCACATTATTGTCCAAGTTATAATCAGGAAAAAAACAACTCAGTTGCAGTTTTAATAGTAATTTTTTTTCTTGCCTTTCAGAGAAAATAGCTGACTCTAGCCAAAAGCCTATCAGTGCAGATCTATCTTGTGAAACACCAATGGAGGATGCCTATGACTTCAACACTGATTATGTTGAGGATTTGTCACCAGTGCCAATTAGTTAAGGCCAGAATAACTAATGGCTGAAGTAACAGAACATTTGGACTGTACAGAGCAATGAATTGGCTTAAATCAAAAGCAAAAATTCTCTACATTATTTTTATGGTGGAGATTGTGTAAAAAAAGCAAATTGTATTATAACTTGTAAAATATATATTGGATTTAAGATATTAAATAACTTGATTGTAGTTTTTTATACAATATTCAAATTAGATTAAACCTAACACTTCATATTACCTCTTCCATTAACTTAAAATGTGATTTAGTATACTTCCACACAGTAGGGATTCTATAAAACAAAACTCCAGAATATGATGTATAACTCTGAAACTTACTTGTAGATGGTATTGATCCCTCCCTTTAAATTTTAAAATATGGCATCTAGGATTAGAAGAGTTAAGTTACAGCAGGATCTTTAATCAGGGGAATTTTAAAAAGATTACACTTGGTGAATGCCTTGTATGTTATAGTGTTACCGACAGGGCAAATCAAACAGGGTTTGTGTTTATTGTTAGAGCAGTCAGTGTACGCCCACTAAAGAGGAACACTTGACTGACAAGTTATTTCCTCCCTCTCTTGAAGACCCCAGACATACCTTTTCAGGTGAAACAGTAACTTACCGGCACTTCATTCAACCAAGTCTGCTATAGTTGCTCATAATGTGGTGTCCTCTACACTGGGGAGATTAAACGCAGGCAAGGTGACTACTTTGCTGAACACCTATACCGTCTTTAAAAGAGATCCTTAGCTTCCAGTTGCCTGTCACTTTAATAGACCACTGTTCCCATATCAACATTTCAGTCTTAGGCCTGTTACAGTGTTCCAGTGAGGCTCAACACAAGCTGGAGGAACATCACCTTCTGCCTTGGCATCTTACGGCCTTCAGGACTCAGTTTAACAATTTCAGAATAAACACCCTTTTCCTTATTTGTTTTCTTCATCCATACCCTAGGTCCTGTTTTATATGGGCTGTTCATAGCATAGCCACCCATTTTGAAACATTTACACTTCTCATTAGTATTCCACCAAGCTAATATTGTTATCCCAGCTTATCATAAGCAATCTGTTTACCTGTCCTTTTTCTGTCTGGGCACCTTCTCAATCTACTCTCTTCTCTTCCTGCAATCCCACCCCATTATCAACATATATTCCACATTTTCCCCATCTACCTTCATTCTGATGAAGTTCACTGGATTCAGAATGTTAATTTCATTTTCTCTGTGCAGATGTTGCCAGACCTAGATGTCTGGAGGTGTACTGACGTGTTTTGGATGAATTACAGACATGAATCCCACAGCTGTTTGTCTTGGTATGTCTGTTTGACAGAGGCCCCCAGCCACTTAATTTGATAATAACTTTGTAGAAACCTGAGATTGATTCTTTAAACCAAAGGTTTCCTGATTCTTTGCAGTTCAGTGTCAATTTTAAATAAGATTTCAACATGAACTTTTCAACAGAAACTTCGACGTGAACAGAGTGTCACTGGTTAAATGGATGAGTAGGACAGTCTTTACTGGGCATGGCAATATCAAAAATGGCACATTACATCCCCTATCAGTTTGTATATTGCTTTGTTCTGGATGAAGTACCTTTGACTTTTGGATAATTGGTATTTTGAAACATTTACTCACAAATAGCAAAAGTAAAGTTTATCCTAATTTTGAGATTTTGACTAAGTCAAATTAAAGGGCTTTTGACATTTATCTTACCTTGATATCAAATGTGCTGTGTATCTCAATTTCTACATCAAATACACTTACAACTGGGATAGTATGTTCTAAATACTTAGGCAGCATTTGTGGAAAGAAAACTAGTTAACCGTTATAAAGAATTTAGGCCTGATAAATAAGTTGATATATCAACAGCTCATTGTAGCACAGTGAAAAAAATAAACAAAATATGACAAATTGGACAGTAATTGACAGGTCTATAGCTGAAATGGGAAGTATGACAAAAGCATGCAAAAATCCATATTGGCCTATTGGTAGACTTCTCAGACTTTCGATTCTGTGGTCTAGAGTGTAGGTTCTTCACATTACATCCTCTGCTGCAATAAATGTGTTTGACTTCCTTGTATTTTCGTCCCCTCCACAAACCATTTGAGCCCAGCAACTGACATACACATGCAGAAACTCAGACAGCCTGGAGGTTTTAACTACAGTCCTATTACAATGGACGCTATAGTAATCCAATTTGAATGAGTGCGTTCTATAACGAGAAATGTCTTCAGTAACATCATCCTCATACATTTCTGACATCTATAACCATCCTACAAGAGCGTCCCTCAGACAGCTGCTATGTGTTAAGATTGAAGGTATAAAAGTGGCCTTTATCTGTCAAGTGTTACCATGTCACTGAATCTACTAGATATAAAAAGCAAGTATTTGACATGTTAATAGCTACAGGATAAGGATAAGTTTCTTGCAGGTTCAGGTCTGTTTACAGAGACATCATGGATTTAAGGAAAAGCTTTTTGGTTGGGATGTTTATGTTGCATTTTTTGTATTGGGGGTTGGTTGGTGATGCAGAGTGACACCACTAGGTTCAATTCCTGCACTGGCTGCGGTTACCATGAATGACTGTCTAACAAAGGACGAACCCTATAGCCTGGTAAGACTATGACAACTTTTTATTTATTTCTGTTTCCTGGCACAAAAGACTCCTGGCACAGGTAAACTATGTCATCCAGCTCCATGCACAATCTCTGGCAGCCACCTTAGTTTTGGCACATAGTCTTGAGTCAACTGACCAGTAATGGTATGTAATAGATTTGTAACAGATTTTTAAATAGGTCTCTACCATCTGATAACTGCTAATCTGTAACATTTTTCAGTAGCGAATTCTTGCATATCTGGGTACTTAACATGTAACTGTTAATTTTTGTTTAGTTCAGTAGTTACATGCAAATGTACGAACTGAGGGACAAAGGGTTCAACCAATGGTACCTGAGATTAAACAGAGGTACGTTAAAGCTGCAAGACTTGAATGCCTAGTTTAATTCCCTTACAAAGCATTGTTCTAAATGCTATGAGCAAACTGTGCTTTTTAAGTCTGTAATCTTTGTTAGAAAAGGTCACTGACTTAATGTTAATTCTTTCTCTCCACATATGCTGCCTGCCCAACTGAGCATTTCCAGCATTTTTTTTTCTTTTCAGATTTCTATATCTGGAGTATTTTGCATCTGTATACTTACAGCTTGTGCAATTTAATATCTGAGTGAAAACTGTAGTGGAATTAGGAGCAAGACAAAACTGACCAAATCAAGATCTCAGCTGTTGGGATAGAGCTGCTGAATTCCCAAGAAACTGCTCAATTCATTACATTTTAGGGGCAAAATATGAATTTCTATCTTTAAAAACCCCTTGAAACACCAACTCATCAACAGGGACCTTGCTTAACTTGAGGAGCTGACTCATAACAATTTAGAAACGCATAGGTAATTCAATATGTAGCTCCTTGTGAGTCATAATACTCTCTGCTATTACACAAATCAGTAATGTGATATTAGATATATAAACTTTAAGTCCCAATTCAATCAACTTGCATTTGCAAAATACAATGTGACTGAACAGCATTTGTTAAATAATTGAGTGTGCAAAGAATTACGCTGACAACCAATTTAGGATTATCAGAGCGAGCAAGAACTGCAGATGCCGGAGTCGGAGATAACAGGTGTGGAACTGGAGGAACACAGCCAGCCAGGCAGGATTAGAGGAGAAGGAAAGTTGATATTTTGGGTCAGAACCCTTCTTCAGAAACAAAAAAATTAGGATTATATTGGGTTTGCAATGTAAAGAAAGCTGCATGTATTAAGACACAGGGTCCTGTTCTTTGCTGACAAAGGTATGTACACACCTTCAATTTAACAGAATAACGAGTTCATTCTTTAGGACTATACCTTTGCCTGCTTCAGAATTTAAACAGTTAATGATGATTGGCAGTTCACTGTTACATTTTCTGTGGCAACACATCTACCACTTCTTGTACAAGATAAATGTTGTTTTCTCTTAGGTCAATTTGCAAGAAATACCAGATATGTAAAAGTCAAAAGCTTCATAAAATGTCTTTTTTTCAGTAATATTAATGCTTGTGTCAAATACTTCAAGACCAATGACCAAATTCACATTTGTTTCTGTTTAAGTGTCTTAATGTGCAAACTTTAATGCAATCAAATACTTAATATGACATGGGGTATTAATACAAGTTTTCATTTACTTTATAACTAGAAATGTTTCACGGATGTTGCAGTTATTTTGGAAATACACAACTGCAAGAATGCAAATTTCTAATACAATGTAAAATCTGTACCAAAAACTGGAATTGAAATGATTGTCATTAATAGCTTCTCTCCCAACTTCTGTTTTCCAATAAGGAGAAAAATGTCATTTTGATGGTAACATTCAAGATATTTTGTTAATTTTTTAACAAAGTAATTCAGTTGAGACAATGAAAATTAGTTTTATGATGAATATTAAAATATTTAATAATACATGTGGTCTTACCTGGGTTAAAACATTTAACTTGAAGTCCTTATTTCATCCAGGCTTACACAGGATTTGAACACCTTATTTTACTAGAATCAGGAATGACAAAGTCCTCCATTTTCTCCACAGCAAGAAAAATCTATGGTCTTGTTTGTTGTGCATGTAAAAAAAGACAGCCTAAAAAATGAAACAATCTGAATGCACACTTAGAATGAATTGAATCACAAATTCCTGAGTGGTGGTAGTTTGTACAAACTAAGTTAATGATTTAGAAGTCACATTTATCGTTATCTGCTAATGAGCTTCCTCATCCTCTGCATGTCTACGTACTGGGTGGAATTTTCCAGTGGGGTCTGGAATATACCACTTGTCCCAAATATCACTGTATGAAGAGGTACGCCCCCAAGGTTTGAAACGTCCATTCCAATGAAGCAACTTGGCAGCTTTAATAAAATGCGATGAATATCTGGTACCAGCATTAGACCCTGTAGAACAGAATGATATATTTAGATATTATAACTTTGATTTCTGAAATGTAAAAGAATTCCTACAATCAAGCTCAAAATAATAATTTTGTTCCAATAATTAAAAAAAGTTAAAACATCTCAGCTCATTGTAAAGAGAAGTACATTTTTCTGCTGATCCTTATATAGATTTTTTATTTAAAAGTTAGCTTGCATTCATTATAATTTTTTTTCCCAAAAATCTCTCACTCTAAGATTTCACTACACTTCAATCAAGAATATCACCGAATCATTCCCCAAGTCTCTTGTCAATACATGCTTGGTCTGGATATTAAGTAAGCGCACTTTAGTAGTAGGAAAATGCAGTCAAATTTACACTTCAAGTACGGTTACATTTTGGAGGTCCACTTTAGTAGTTAAAAAATTGATACAATAAACAATTTACTGCAGTGTAAAATACATTGCAAGAAAGTTGAAATAACTGAATATTTAGGTCCAATAAAATACGTCTAAATGAAATTAATTCACAATGGCGAGATTGAATGAAAAAGGAGAGTATAGGATACTTGCAAGACAGCGGTGAAACATTCCATATGTGCATTCTATCTGTTACTGACTTCTTTCCCAAACTTTGCTAATGTAAATTTGGGAGCGAGCAAACAATATTTACCAGATAATCTGTTGGATAGTATTCATCATTTATAGATAACACAATGTGGAGCTGGAAGAACACGGCAGGCCAGGCAGCATCAGAGGAGCAGGAAAGCTGACGTTTCGGGTCTGGACCCTTCTTCAGAAATGGGGGTAGGGGAAGGGGGCTCTGAAATAAATAGAGAGGAGGGGGCAGTAATAACAGGTAGACAGTGGAGCAGCGAGGTGGGAGAGAAGACGGACAGGTCAATGAGGCAAGGATGAGAGGGGGAGGCTGGTCTTGGGACGATGTTGGGGGTGGGGAAATTTGAAGCTAGTAAAGTCCACATTGAGACCATTGAGTTGTAGGCTTCCAAGGTGCAATATGAGGTGCTGTTCCTCCAGTTTCCAGGTGGCATCGTTGTGACACTGTAGGAGGCCTCATTGACCTGTCCGTCTTCTCTCCCACCTATCCGCTCCTCCCACCTCACTGACCAACCCCCACCACTGCCTACCTACACTCACCTTTACTAGCTTCATCCCCACCTCATCGACCTGTCCGTCTTCTCTCCCATCTCTCCGCTCCACTGTCTACCTGCTATCACCGCACCCCCCACTCTATTTATTTCAGAGCTCCCTTCCCCTCCCCCATTTCTGAAGAAAGGTCCCGACTCGAAACGTCAGCTTTCCTGTTCCTCTGATGCTGCCTGAACTGCTGTGTTCCTCCAGCTCCACACTGTTATCTCAGACTCCAGCATTGGCAGTTCTTACTATCTCTTCATCATTTATAGGTTGTTCCTTAGAAACATCATGGAAAGTTTTAAGTTACTCATGCATGCAGATGAAACTCGCACCTGTCCACTGTCTTGCTGTCTAACATAGAGACTTGGATGATCTGCAGTTTCTCCAGTTAAGGACTACAAAACACTATCTTTGCCACTGATCACTAGATGTCACCATTTCTAGCTGCTGTCTTGAGTTGAAACAGACCATTCATCCTATTTGATTCCAAGCTTAGCTTCAAAGTCCACATATCAACCTCACAAATGCTGCCAACTTCCAAGAGTTGAATGTTACCTTCATACTTAATAAATTGCATAATACAGGGATTTACTCTCTATTTCTTGTCTTTCCTCTTCCAGTGTGGCGCATGTTATTGTTTTATCATTAAATATAAATTGTACTTTCTTGTGCTAACTCAAAGAGCAATCCATATAATGTCAAAGTCTGAACACCATAAACTGTCACAACCATTTTGAACAAATACATGACAGTTTTAGAAGCTCTTTGAAGAACTTAAGAGGATTAGGAAAAATGGAAGCATGTGGAATTGGAAATATTTTGACATTGGTTTGTTCTTGTTTGGGTGAAATATAGAGTAGGGATAAAGGAAATGTGTATGGAACTGTCAAGATGTGACTAGCATGTCCCTTGGGATCTGCGCTGAGTCTCAGTTTTCCAGTCAATACATATTTATGAATGAATTAGATGAACAAATTTTGTTCACAGCATTAGCCTTTGGAAGTGCAATAAGTATTGTGGGTGCAGCGGAAAGGAAAATAGATTAAGTGACTTAAGCTCAATGTGTGGAAAGTGCAAGAATATTCAATTTGGACCCATGATATATCAGTATTTTCTAAATTGTGAGGTGCTGGGAACTATGAAGAACCAAAAAAGGATCTAGAGATGTGTACAGAAATCTTTAAAAATTAGTGGATATTAACCAAAGAGTCAAAAAGGCTGTCAGAATGCAAATTTAGTTTTTCAGCCTCTGTTGTCAGTTACAAGATTCTTGCTGCACGAGCCTACTTTATCACGTTAAAAATGAAGATAAAATTAATTATTTCCGAACAACATTTACAAATGGTTTCCCTTGGACATGGTTTATTTCATACATAACAAACACAATGATTGGATCATACAGGGGTGCTCAGCTATGATGCCCGAACTGGGACTAACCCCAGCTTTGTTTAACAAAAAAAGAAAATAAATCAACCACAGATTATTTTACTTACAGATCATCAGGCTTTCTTTGCAATCTTTGCTGGGTTGCAATATTGTGACGCTCTGATTACAGCACAAATTACTGCACCATAGAATGCTGCCATTTTAGCATGTATGATAATAATTTTAGGTACATTAGACTGTTTATTTACTCACTAAAGCTAAAAACTTACCAAGATGCCTCACGTGCCACAATGGATCAATGGAAGAGTATTGTTTATAGAATACCAAGAGCATGGGTGGTGTTGTAACGCTGCCAGCCAGAGCACCACCATACAAGTTCTCCCTGTAAAGAGTATGAGATATGTATCTATCAACTCCAGGTTGCCTTTTGAGATGGAAGAAGTGGAAACAAATATTTAGCTGAGATACTCTTAAACAAATTCAACAGTTTTTCCTATACAACTCTACAAGGATGGCACAGTGGCTCTCAGCACCAGGGATCCAGGTTCTATTCCAGCCTTGGGTGACTGTCTGTGGAGTCTGCACATTCTTCCCTGTCTGTGTGTGTTTCCTCCAGGTGCTCCAGTTTCCTCCCACATTCCAAAGATGTGTAGGTTAGGTGGATTGGCTATGCTAAATTGCCCATAGTGTCTAAGGTAGGAAATGCAGGGATAGTGTAGGGGATGGGTCTCGGTGGGATGCTCTACCGAGGAACAGTGTGGAATCGATGGGCTGAATGGCTTGTTCCCACATAGGGATTCTATGAATAACATTTCTAAGCTAGTAAATATTGAATTTACATTTTTTCTTGTTTAAAAAATAAATCCGAGATGTCTTGAATAAGATATTGGCAGCAAGTTTCAAATTGAGTTAATTGGCACAATTCTATAAATTTCTACATTCCAGGGTTTTTGCTGCGGAGTGCTTGGCAAGGGAAAGCCCTTGGAGCTGTCAGCACCAAATTCAGAATGGAATTGCTATTTCTCACCAACCATAAGGAGCTGCCTGCCTGCACTATTTAATAGTAGGTGCTACTTTACTGGCCTTTGTTCCCCATCTTGCATTTTCAGTCCCTGGCTCCCCCAGACATATATAAATCCAGCTTCAGTACGGCCATCAATGCATGCACAAACAGTAATGTAATTACATATGCTATGTAGCGACATCAATCACACAGGTGCAGACACATTCTGGCTTGGGGAAACATCCGCTGCCAGTAACCAATGTCACATAGACAGGTGGCTATTTTGACAGGCTAATTACTGTTCGCCTCATGCAAAATGCCTAATGCAAGCAGGTAACCTGCATTAACTTACGCTACATTGATTTCCATCCACCTTTCAAGCTGCTCTGTAATGTTCTGCTGCCTCCACTCTGTGAGATTAGCTACAAAAACACCGGGATTAAAGGAGCACGTGCTTGCCTTCATACCAAGTTTCCTAATGGTTTCTTTTTTATAATCAAGGAATCCCAAATATGTGTTCTAGAAAATATGAGAATACAGTTAATGAGGTATTTGATTTTCCTTTAACAGTACTATTTTAGTAACCTAACCTTAGTTTGAATTGTAATTCAGTGATTGAGAAACAAAGTGGCAGACAAAAATAGTTTCAAAGTGTTCTGATGCTAATCAGGATATTCATTCTAAAATTAAAAGTGACAGAGGTGTGTTTGCCAAAGATATAAAATAATATGGGATAAAGGCTGGTCTTTGGAATTAGGTCGCAGATCAGCCATTTCAATGCATAGCAGAACAGGGTTAATTTGTGAATGGTCTATTCTTGTTCCCAGGTTCAGTTTATCTTCATTTTGTTATCATTTATGCCTCAATAAATATGTCTCAACCAATACCACTGGAACAAATTACCTGGGGATTTATCATTTGCTGTTCGCTGAACGTTACTTTGCACAAATGGGCAAGAACACCACGCACACATTGTAATGAGCTGCATAAACTATACTGAGCCGAATCTAATGATTTTTTTGGCTAACTCTGAGCTGTGTCAAGTTTTTTTGTTGTAGTGAGGGCTAGCTGATTCTCTCACATTTTCATACCAAATTCATTTCTTAACTACATATGACGCCCCAATGGTCAATTTCTACCCTGCATTGCCATGCACTGTTCTCAGATCAAGCCGGCACTCACCGATATCCTGGATGTTTTCAGCATCCCTTGCATCGGTGCCAGCTGATCCACTTAAATGGCATTTTCCCAAACTACCCCTAAAATCCTTGCTATCTGCAATATCTAGAAACCTGCATACATGGCTTAGCAATGCAATAAATTCTAACCTATTCAAGGAACCTCATATGCACACTTGTAATGAACCTATCCCTTATTCCAAGTTGTAGGATAATTGTTGATTATATTGAGTGGGGAAAGGAAAAAAAATACATTATAATGGCTCAAATATTAGGATGGTACCAATATACTGGATTGAATGATCATGTTCCTTATTCCATATATATCATTGAGAACGTCTGACCTTCACTACCTGTGTCTTAAAATTAAATCAAAACAATGAAACATAGTTCTTAATAGATTTCAGTCATATTTAATGCATCACATATGATTCAGAATATCAATTTTCCAAACAGCAAATTCTACACTGTACATTAAATACCTGACTTCCTGCGCCTCTAACCAACACCTTTGAAGATACAGAATCGCAATCTTCAGAAAATGCTGCAGCATGACCTGCCTTCAGTTCAGTGTCATAAAGCTCACGGATATCTCCTAATGTACCAAGTGTAAGAGAAAAGTAAGTACAGCTCACATTTATATAGTGTTCTATTAGGTTGAAATGTCTCAAAGTGTTCCAAGTAATAAATTAATTTTGGAATGCTGTTTCATCTATAAACAAGCAAATTTAGATGTTTTAGTTTATGTTATGACTATGAAAAGACATTATATGAAAAAAAATTACTTCTGCAAACTACCACCATACATTGATGGAAATGCAGCTGCTATAATTCAGCTGCCTAAAATACGGAAACGTAATGGATGAAAATTAAAACATTTTGAAAAATTGTCATTAGAAATCCAGTGCATGGTATTAGCCATTTCACTAAATCATTGCAAACATAATTCCTCAAACATAATGATCTGTTTATGAACATTTTTTAAGGTATGTTCACATGTGTACAATAGAAACAAAGCAAAAGCTTACCTTGCACAATCACATCATCATCCAGGTAAATGGCTTTCTCTGTGCCAGAAATCAAAGTGGGTAGATAAAACCTTGCAAAAGTCAGCTGGCAAATAAATGATAGATAACTGATCAAGATATGGGCTTTAATATTCGATTCTACTTCAGTTAGTAAAATGATCTAAGTTTACTAAATACTAACAAGATGAAATGTTTTCTTTTACAATTAATTTCCCATCAAGTTTAGGTACATTCTAATCTTGATTACTATTGTAATCTTAAACTTGCACTGACTACATTCATCATGCCCACGAGGTGTAAGAGAGGAAAAACTCAGGTGAGGAAATATGAAGTAGGGCGCTAGTTATGCTGTAGATATCACTTGAAGACTCATAACTATATGGAGTCAACAAACTCGAGCTACAACCTGGTTCGCATGCCTGTGGCACTTTTGTGCAGGTTCACAACTAAAGCTTCCAGTAAGTACACACCTGCTGCTTGGTACACTCTTCCACAAATGGCAGTGGATGATGGCTCAGCTGTAAACTTAAAATATGAGAGAGATACATTTTTTATTAAGCAAAGGTATTAAGGGATATAGACCAAAGGCAGATATACAGACTTAGGCCGTAGATCAGGCATGATCTTGTTGAATGATGGAACAGCCTCGAGGGGCTGAATAGCTTACTCTTGTGGCTTTATTACTAACCTTGCCTTATGTTCCCAACTGAATTGCCACTGCCCATGTTGTTCAGGGGCTGGGAAAATTCTGCACAGATTTCAGCCTCCCCTATTGCTTCAAAGCATCTTGGATGCACCCCTGTTCTATGTATTGTCAAATAATTGACTATGTCATGACCAGACTGAGGGGCAAGCATATGTAACAAAAGCTGCACACATGACTCTGACAGGGTGGGCTGCTCTTCGGAAGGTCGGTATGGACTTGATGGGCCAAATGGCCTGTTTCACTCTAGGGATTCTATTTTATGATCAAGTAACCCTAGTAAAACTGGAATCCATGGGTATCTGGGGGGTTGGGGGGAGGGGGGGAGCGAATTCTCTGCTGGTTGGAGTCATACCTGGCACATAGGAAGATGGTGTAGTTGTTGGAGATCAGTCACTTCAGCTCCATAACATCTCTGGAGGAGTTTCTCACAGGAGTGTTCTAGGCCCAAACATCTTCAGCTACTTCATTAATGACCTTTCCTCCATCATAAGGTCAGAAGTGGGAACGTTCGCTGACGATTGCACTGTGTTTGGCACTATTTGTGACTCCTCAGATACTGAAGCAGTCCACATTCAAATGCAACAAGATCTGGACAAGTGGCAAGTAACATTGTGCCATAGAAATGTCAGGCAATGACCATCTCCAATAAGAGACAATTTAATCACTGCTCCTTGACATTCAATGGTGTTACCATCACTGAATTCCCCATAATCTACATCCTTTGGGTTACCAGCAACCAGAAACTCAACTGGATTCGTGTCACAGTGGCTACAAGAGCAGGTCAGAAGTTCGGAATTCTGTGGCCAGCAATGCACCTCCTGACTCCCCAAAGTCTGTCCACCATCTACAAGGCACAAGTCAGGAGTATGATGGAACACACCCCACTCACCAGCAGCTCCAACAACACTCAAGAAGCTTGACACCATCCAGGACAAAGCAGCCCACACCCACAAGTGTTCACTCCCTCCACCACTGACACTCAGTAGCAGCAGTGTGTACTATCTACAAGATGCACTGAAGAAATTCACCAAAGATCCTTAGACAGCACCTTACAAACCCACAACCAATTCTATCTCGAAGAACATGGACAGCAGATACATCGGAACGTCACCACCTGCAAGTTTCCCTCCAAGCTCCCCACTATCCTGAGTGGGAAATATATTGCTGTTCCTTTGTTATTGCTGGGTCAAAATCCTGGAATTCCCTCCCCAAGAGTATTGTGGGTCAACCTACAGCATGTGGACTGCAGAGATTCAAGGTACCAGCTTACCATCACTTTCTCAAGGGCAACTAGAGACGGGTAATGAAATGCTGGCCAGCCAGCAATGTCCACATCTCACGAGTGAATTAAAAAAAGACCTCCTCCTTCATTTTATAATTCTATATTTAATTATATTCTATGTCTAATTATAGATACAAATGCAATGCAGCTACTCACTGGTTTTATTTCAGTTGAATCACCCTCATCTTGTACTTTGCCTTTTAGAACACGAGGATCAAATCTCAGAATTTTATACTTTATACCCATCAGTTCTTGCTTTTGAAGCCAAGCTCTAAACCAAAATACAAATGAATTATAACGGTTTAATTTCAATCTCACATTAAACAAAAAGTAGAACATAAACAGATTTGATTTTGTTGCAAGAATTAACAGGAACACAAGTTTACCTTAAATGATCAACAGTATCATTTGTAGTAACTACATAAAAGATCACATTTGACCTGGTGTTACTATATATACTGTTTATGGCTGCTATTACGCCTCCAAGTCGCTCCTCTACAGCTGGGATTAGAATTGGAATCTCTTCACCCGTTCTCACTTCTGCAATCCTCCACACTCCACTATACTTTGATTCTAAAATATGAAAATTGAAGTACAAAAGGAAGCTATTTACAAAATGAGCAGGTGTTAAATTTCTCCAATTAGCTGACAGAAGGGAACAGTGGATAATTCTAGTGTTTTAGTAACTTGATTGTGATTACTTCAAGAACTGGCTGTTCAGAATGAAAATCTAGTCAGTTATGTTATTTTAAAAAAACGTCAAATTTGTACCAGGACTGTCTTTAATTAGTTTTCATTTTCTATTGATTTAAACATAAAATAACTATTAATGAATAAATGCTAGATTTAATCATTCAATTAATATTCAGGTAAGTAACAGTACTTTTGTTTTATTTGTTTTTACACAAAATGTGATTGTTGCCCTTGAATTGTTTACTAGTTCTTTTCAGAGAGTAAATACAAGTCAACCATGTTACTGTTGATCTGGGCTCACATGCAGATCAGACCATGTAAGGATGGCAGATTTCCCTCCCTCAAGAACATTAGTGAGGCAAATAGGTTTTTATGACAATTGGCAATTGGTCACTATTACTGAGACTAGCTTTATTAATTGATTAACCAACAAATTCCAGATTTATTAAATAAATTCAAATTCTACCAATTTCTATGGTGGTATTTGAACTTGTGTATACATAGCATTTGCCTGGGTGTTTGGATTATTAGTTCAGTGATGTTACTACAATGCCATTGTCCCCTGCATTTGTTATAATCAAATGAATACAAACATATCTTTCCCCTTTGCTGCAGAAGCTAGGCAAAAAAATGAACAAAATAAATTCTTTCATAGAATAGATAGAATCCCTCCAGTGTGGAAACAGGCCCTTCGGCCCAAGAAGTTCACACCGACCCTTGGAGCATCCCACCCGGACCCATTCCCCCTAACCCACCTAATCTACACACTCCTGAACACTATGGGTAATTTAGCATGGCCAATCCACCTACCCTGTCCATCTTTGGACTGTGGGAGGAAACCAGAGCACCCGGAGAAAACCCACGCTGACACTGGGAGAATGTGCAAACTCCACACAGACAGTTGCCCGAGGGTGGAATCGAACCCGGGTCCCTGGTGCTGTGAGGCAGCAGTGCTAACCACAAATTTTGTTAGTACAATTTGTCAACGTACAAGATAAAAATCAGCATTTATTATCAGTTTGCAGCAGTTAAAATTAACTCACGAGTATTTAACTTGTATTTGGCAAAGGCCTACCTACATGATATTAACATATGGAGGTGATAGCCTAGTGGTATCATCGCTAAATCAGTAATCCAGAGACTCAAGTAATATTCTGGGGATCTGAGTTTGAATCCCACAGATGAAGGAAGTTGAATTCAAATTCAAATTCAAAATCTGGAATTAATAATCTGATAATAACAATGAAACCATTGTTGACTGTCAGAAATAAAACATCCGGTTCACGAATGTCCTTTAGGAAAGGAAACTTCCATCCTTAGCTGGGATGTGACTTCATGCAGTGTGGCTGACTCTTAACTGCCCTCTGGGTAATTAATGGTGGGCGATAAATACTAACTTAGCCAGTGACACCCACATCCTATGAATGAATAAAAAATGCAATGTGATTGCAGAATAGCCAACACCACTTCTATAATGTATCTACTATTAATAGGTATGCTTGTCAAATTAGACAGCAACACAAAATAAATATTAAATTTTTTGCAACAAAGATTCATTTGTTCACTTAAAATATTCATTTTGTATGCATAATCATATATCCATTTTTGAGACAGGAGAGCAAAGTAACAGATGAAGCCTCCAAATAAAAACAGAACTCGAAATACAAATATGGTATTGAGGCTTACAAAACTTAGCACTATGAATGAGCTGGAACATGGTTTATTAAATGTTGCCACTTACCTGAATTCTCCTTCCTCAAAAGGTCATGAGCATTAAATAGATTATGGTGCATAACTATCAAAAGCACAATTGCAACAAGCAGAATTATGAGGATATGAGCTGGAAAAGAATAGAAGTTTAAAGCATTAAATACAAATTCCACTTGTTTTGTATATCTCCTCTATAAATTTCACTTTCATTCTGCAGGACCTGCACCAAGATGCAGTTCCATGATTCACTGGTTAGTCTAGACAGTGAGTGACAATAAGGTTTTAAATTGTGACATCATCATGGCCAATCAAACTCTTCCTATACTCCTACATACAGTGCTCTCTTCCAGTGACAAGATAACAAGGCAATGTGACCAGGTTTAAAAGCTCTATCAATACCCCACCATTGTAAAGCAGTGGTGAACCCAATTACAAACCATTGTACTGTGATGACTAACTCATCATGATCCAAGCTGTAAACATATTGGCCCTCTCCAACTGTACATGACGTCACTGTGTGGAGACCAAACCACCTTTGTATAAGAGATAGTAGGAACTGCAGATGCTGGAGAATCTGTGATAACAAGGTGTAGAGCTGGATGAACACAGCAGGCCAAGCAGCATCAGAGGAGCAGGAAGGCTGACGTTTTGGACCTAGACCCTTCTTCAAAATGGGGGAGGGGAATGGGGTTCTGAAATAAATAGGGAGAGAGGGGGAGGC